AAGAAAGAAAGAAAGAAAGAAAGAAAGAAAGAAAGAAAGAAAGAAAGAAAGAAAGAAAGAAAGAAAAAGTTTAGATCAATTAGACCTCAAATTTTTGAGGAATATTTTGAGCCAGTTTGCATGCCTTTTGGATCAGTGAGGATATAGTTTACTTGTAGTTCACAGGCTCAAATATCGAGTTCAAATTTAGTCGTTATATGCCATGTCAATCGGTCATTATTACTTGTATAGTAAGTTGAATTCAAACGAGCATTTTAGATGCTATCAAAGCGTTCTCTAGCTCAGTTCGTCTACTCGTAAAGTCAAGAGATTCACAAATGGATACCCCATTTAAAGGTTTTTTGTCTAGAGTAGTTCACCGGTCGTTCAAGTGCTTTTAACATGCTCTGGATAGAGATATCACAATATCCGGTATAGCTTAAAGATATGTAGGTTTTTTATCTCCTATAGGGAAAACAAACGTATCTTCTATTGAATGTGCAGGTGTCGAGAAACTGACGTAATGCGCATGCTCGGAAAGTTACGGCCGGAAGCACATGTGAATGCTTGAGTAGGTTTGTTGCGTCTCTCCATTAATTCGATAGTTTTTCTCCAGGTTCTCTATGAGTTTTTGTCCCTCCTAAATTCCAATAGCACGTTTGCATGATGGCGTCATTTGACTTCCACAACCAAAATGCTTGGCGAATTTTCTTTCTTATTCAAATTTGTATTCCCTCATGAGAAAAGTAAGAGAATTGGTGCTAATTCACTGAACAAAAGAAAGTGTGTAAGGGATTCTGCTAGCAGAGGTCAATGACGCCATCCTGCAAATGTCCTATTCAATCTGTGTGTTAGCCATGCCCTGACTTAGATCAGCCTAGAGGTTGTTTCAGGGTTTAATCTGTGAGTTAGCCATGCACTGACTTAGATCAGCCCAGAGGTTGTTTCAGGGTTTGATCTGTGAGTTAGCCATGCCCTGACTTAGATCAGCAAAGAAGATGTGCCTCGACTCAGATCAGTCCCCCCCCCCCCGAATATTTGGCAGATTGATTCAAAAACTCCTAAATGACTTCCCAAAATAACATGAGGGTCCCTGTGACACAGCGATCCCACGCAACACTAGATCGATCACTATCATTTGTTAGAAACTGGTAGGAAGGATTTACAAAGCCAGCCTGAAACCAGCTGAAACATACCAGCCACGCTTACTTGGGGGCGTTATAGGAAGCCATTTGAGTGTACCGTTAGACACCCACTGAATCATATGCTTAACATATTTTCCTACGTTCCTCTCAAAATAAATGTTATACTTAGAAAGCCATTCGAGTGTACCGTTAGACACCTACTCATATCACGAGCTTAAAATATTTTACTACGTCCCTCTCAATATAAACATTATACTTAGGAAGCCATTTGAGAGCAGCCGATGTCACCCACTCATAAATATAACGTGTTTAACATATTTTAGCGCAGTTCTCTTTTGTTATAACTGATCTATTTGGGTGTGTCATAAGTCATCTTTTAATGTGAAACTTAGTTTTATGAGAATAACGTGGAAAAGTATGTGCATTTAACAAAAAAGGGGCACCTCGTTGTACACTTAAAAGGTTTTCCAAACTAAATACCACACTGAAATGGCTTCCCATCTTAATAGTATGCCCATCTTTGTGTTACAAAAATGAGAAAAATATGTGCAGTCGGGAAACCGCTGGCTTCGGTCTTGCCGCGATACAGTCCAAGCTTGACCAATGAAAGTAGCGTCATTTTCGTTGTTATGACAACAGCTACTTCACATTTTATTCCAAAACACAAACAATTTGACAGTAAATTGCGGTCAAAGGATTCTGAAGTGTGTTAGGAAATTAAGCCGTTTACATTACACGCTTTCATGTAACGTCTTGTTACTATGGAAACAGTCTGTGACGAAAACCAACTTTGAACTCTATTCGTTCAAAAAAAAAAAAAATCCTAATATGTCGTTATGGAAACCACATAAGCTCATTTCATTATGATTACAAATTGACGAATGAAGAAAAATTCGATTGTCTATTTACTTCTTTACAATTTACCTTTGTATTACGCTCTAGCAATAGCATTTCTTTGATCCGTAAACTAGCTTTACGATCGCGAAGGTAACTTTTCCTTTTCTCTGGTTTCATAGCTGAACCTTTTCAGTTCACGCTGTTGAATCTTCGGAATATACTTCGTTCTTATTGAAGTTAAATCCTCCTGTAGCCTAAAGGTGTAACGCTTTACATTTATCAAGCTTTTTCTACATTCATTGGAAAGAAACTTTGTCTTTTTGATACAACCATTTCCAAGTCCAACGTTTTTCGTTTCGGCGTACTTAACAGCGAAGACGATTTCTTTATTAGGACTTGTTTTTAAAAAGTAAGCATATCTTTGCATGGTCTCTCTTCTTCGTCGTTCAATCGCTTCTTCTCTGGTTTCCTTGCTGTATTCCAAGTTCTTGATGTGGCAAAATTCAGAAGTCATCTCTAATTCTTTGGTTGATGTCGACTGATATTTGACTCGAAGTTTTTCTGTTATACACTTGAAGCTTTCCTCACTAGGTCTCAGCGTCATAGTGCTTTACAAACCCTCAATTTCTTCCCATATATTTTAATTTATCAACTTTTCTTCAGCTGTTAAAGTCTTCAGGCCACAAATCCAAAATGGAAATTTTCACATTTTTTAGCCTTTAAAAAGCTGACTTTTTTTCAAAAGGAAAGGACGAAGGCTTGAAATCTCCAGACACCACACATTGAGTACGTTTCGATGACAAACGACAAATAAAAAAAACCAACTTTTATAAAAAACATTAATACTTAATACCATTCAACTTTATTCCTAAACTTACAATGAATAATTCGAAGAGAAGGAAATGTAACTTAATATAGACAAATTGTGGATGAAATTATAAATGGTTTTGCTCGCTAGAGCTCTTACAAAAGCAAAAATTATCCCAAAAAATTAAAAAAAAAAACCAATTAAAAAAGTGAAAATCATTTCTGCTTCTAAATACTCGACATCAGTCTTCAAATGTAACTATTTTCGGGGTATTTTCCCCCAGTGTTGATAAAGTTAACAAATTTACGATGGTTTAGCGTGGTATGTCCTCTTATTTACCACGATATGACGTCAAATGTTGGTCAAAATGTTATGGACTCACGAGGCGTAAGCCGAGTGGGTCCATAACTAATTTTGACCAACGTTTGGCGTCATATCGTGGTAAATAAGAGGACATACCACGCTAAACCATCGTAAATTTGTTTTTTACTACAAAACTCTAGGAAATAGACTGCACGAAATCTTGCATGACGCCATTTGTTGGTATGGCCTCTTATTTACGACGTTTTTTAACCAATCAGCGCGCGAGAAAATTTACAATTGTGGTAAAAACAGCGATAGCCTATGGTGCTTGGACCAAAGCGGAGATCTTAATACTCTAATCCTCCGCCAATCAGAGCTCATTTCCAATTAGAAGTACAGGAAATATTAGCTGAAACAGTACGTGCGTTCGTCAGTCCACACTGATTATTTTTCTATTCATTTCTCATGAATAACGAATGAAATTAGACGACAGGTTATTTCTGCAGATGGTATTATTAGCACTGATTAGCATGTTACCATGGAAACGACACCTTGAACTAACCGATATTGAAATAGGTTATTAAAGGTGCTAAAGACCAGCTTGTCTGGGCCTAAACGATAAGAGTTTTATAATTTCCTAAAATACATCTTAGAATAAGATTGGCAAATACTGATTTATGGATCCGACTTCCCTTAGTTACCGTTACTATGTCCAACAAGCTTAACAAATTACTAAAATATCTCAGAATTTAAAACTCTGATCTCGGAAGATTGTTTAAATTGTTTACTGTCCTGTAAAAATGAAAAAATTGCCTCGTAGTCCTTGTAGTACTCTTTAAAACTGATACTGTGTAGTTGTTTGTGGGACAAGATTTTAATTTCACTGGGAAAACTACTGCAACGGTCATTGGTTCGCTACTGTCTGAGTCGGGACCATGAATTCTGTTTTATTTAATCGTGCAACTAAAATATTTTCGTATGCAAATGAGTTTAACAAGTAGAACAGACATGTTCTTAAATAATGGTAAGTCACGTGATTGATGACGAGATAATAGACCAGTTTCGAATTCCAAATTACCGCTGTGTTYCTTGATTACAGACTCATTTGCACAGGGTTAGCCTCGTATCAGTGTTTAAATATTCACAAATACCAACCGTAAAGTAAAGAATGCACAACTTTAACAATACAAACATTTTGAAACTCGACGGACCTTGACTGCAACACGTGAATATTCTGCACAAACTCGAGGCTAACCCTGTGCAAATGAGTCTGTAATCAAGAAAAACAGCGGTAATTTGGAATTCGAAACGGGTCTATTACGCGGCGTAACTTAAACAAAATCAGGTGTGATTTTTTTGAATGCATTGCTAAATTTGATGTTATCAGTCGTGGACGAATCTTTTGAACTAGCACTAAACTCGGTCTCCACCGATCTCGTTTCGTAATCCGAAGTCTCTAAAGACGGTACCTTAGCAATAGGGGCTGCCTCATCTAGTATGATGACGTTCCCATCCGGGTCATTAGTCAGCCAAGTCCCCTTTTCATTGGGTACCGGCAAGGGACATCCTACCAAATAAGGCATTAGAGAGTCTATATTTGGAATTTTGAATCGAAGTCTTGCTACGGTAGAGGGCTTTGAAAACACTTGGGGTAAACACTTCAATGATAGTTGAATTTCTAGGCCTTTTTGAGTGTATATAGGAATATAACAGAATCCTGTCGAACCATCGCGTGCTTTCTTGCCTGTAATGAGTTCATAGAAAGCGCGCATGCGTAGGAAATTTTTGACGACAATGTGAAATCTTAACAGTTCATTCCCATAATGCACTGGGCAGACAGACCACAAGGGGAGGTCGTGGAACGCTTGGTAGAAATCTTGTGTAGCTGTGATCTGTGGACGGACATCTTTGGGGAGTTCTATTCTGTGGTGAAACTTCCAGGGGTTGGTGGTAAGATTTTTCTGTACGGAGACGGCCGACAAGCGTCCGAAACTTTCGCGAAGAAAAAGTACTACACTCAAAGCTGGGCATTCAACGTTGAACTCATCGTAGTAGGCGCCATTTCCATCCCACTCGAGCAGAGATGACGCAAATTCCTCACTTTCTTCTAAACAAATAAACTGGAAAGTTGGATCGATTCCCTCCAGTAATGGAGAATAAAGATTTTTTAAGAAGCTCACTTCGCCTTTGTTTGCTCGTATTTGAAGTGTGCACTGAAATGGGTCAGGCATTGATTGGTTGGCGTTGAAATCAAAATGGTTTTGCCCTTCGATTTTCATACTCGTGTCGACTTCGGAAAGATTCGGAGAGTCTTCGTTATGAAGTCGGCCATTCATTATCACCATGGCGATATCTAGCTTCAGCTCCTTCGGGCTTTGTGGATGACAATGGAAACAGTTTTCTAAACAGTTGAACCTGAAAGTTTATGTTTAGTACTGTAAGTTATGATAATTATTCTGGACTCGAGTTAATTGGTAGATAAAAAGGAACATTTTACTTAGTGCTTTCAAATTTTTATCCTAAAAAAATTTGAAAATAAGCTAAGTTTAAGACTCGTAAACGAGTTGAAGAAGCATTAGGGAGCAACAGCTTGCTTAATCAAAGAAATCTTTTTTATAATTCAAAAGATCCTCAATATTTTCTTCAAAAGTTTAAGTTCGCTCTTCCATTCACGTGAACTACTTTTTTTAGCTACGTTGACTTCGACGTTTTCAGCAAGTTCTATTGACACGTTTTACTGGTATTTCGACAGATCCATGTCGTAAAATACTTCTAAAAACTAGTACTTTATAACATGCTATTAAAATTAATCAAGTACTAGCTTGTCGCGGATTCACAAGAGAATTACTAATGAATCTAAACTGCTAAGAATAATTCGTAATTAATTAAGAAATATCTCTAATCATTAATGTTATGATAACATTAGATTAAGATGTCAAAATCTTGAATCTTAATTTCAAAGTAAGAATTTGATGCGGAGGTTTTTTACTATAACAATAATTTACAGCGAGTTAGTGTTAGCTTTGAGTTCAAAATATTCAAAACTTTGGAGTTAAAAAATATCTGGAGTTACGACAAAAGAATTCGAGTGAAAAACGAGAATATTTAACGAGGAAAAGCCAGAGAATTTGGGTTTAAAACTTACCATCAAAGAGTTAGATTTATCGGGCCAAATCTGCTTCGTTTCAAAACAACGCCATATCAAAAGCCGGCCAGGAAAACCAATGTCCCTTGTACGGTTTGCTTGTACACACTTTAAATCGTTTGGTCAAAGGATTTAATTTTTCAGCTTCACTAAATTTGCCTAAAATTCGCTCCAATTTAGCTTCGAGTGTAAGATTGAAGGCTTTTGAAGCAGAAGGATGGTTTTACGATACGTGCGTTTGAAAGACGCGAAGCATGTTATTAGAAATTCAGTTGTTCAAAAGAATCGGTTTTGCGAAATAAAAGGGGCTTAAGGAGTATTATGTACTAAGCTTATGGATAATTGTTAATGTTTTAGAATAGACAGCCAATCAGATTATAAGGTTTAATAAGGTAGAATAGCGGTTATTGAAGACGTTGAACCCTGTTTTTGATGAACATGTTTTGCTAAAGAAGAAGCTAAAAACAAGAGGAGAAAGAAAGGAAGGAAGGAAAAAAGAATTGGAGATAAACATGTTTTGCTAAACAAGAACTGCGCTAAAAACAAGAGAAAAAAGAAAAGAAAGAAAGAAAGAAAGAAAGAAAGAAAGAAAGAAAGAAAGAAAGAAAGAAAG